ACCCGGCCGTGATATTGTTACAATATTGCTAAATGCGGCGTAAAACCGTCCTCACTCACCATTAGCTTAAACATCATACTGCTGGATACATGTCTATTGTGTGGAAAACAGGTCAAATTAAACACAACACTGGACCATTATGGCGTAATTAAAACCGTATTACCTGCAACGCCAATTAATCGGAGGTTTCAAAACTTTCAGTATTAAAACTGATTACAATGTCATGTTTGGTATGGGATTTTAATAATATCCGATGTTAATGGCTAAGTCCAGCAGTCACGGCATTGTCTGTAAATATGCAAGTCCAATGAATGTGCTTCAAATCTATTATGTGATCTGTACCTAAAGCAAATGCAGAGACATATAGTGCATTGCACATATTTCACTCCTTTTGTCCTTGTACATGAAGTTTAACCTATTGAGCTAAAAGAGCTCTTGACACGATATTCTTTCAACTATCTTCTCTTTCTTATCTGTTTTGTCCTTGTACATGAAGTTTAACCTATTGAGCTAAAAGAGCTCTTGACACGATATTCTTTTAACTATCTTCTCTTTCTTTTCTGTTTTGTCCTGGTACATGAAGTTTAACCTATTGAGCTAAAAGAGCTCTTGACACGATATTCTTTCAACTATCTTCACTTTCTTTTCTGTTTTGTCCTGGTACATGAAGTTTAACATATTGAGCTCAAAGAGCTCTTGACACGATATTCTTTCAACTATCTTCTCTTTCTTTAACTTCGAAATGATATTCTCCCCTACATTTACACTAAAGCAGTCTTCATCTTGCTATGATCAGATAAATGAGTGACTTACATTATAAATATGAAAAAATGATTTCCAAAACGTTTCCATGGAATGAATATAAAATACTTTAATAATTTGAAATTATTTTTAAAAATAATATTGTTTTCTGAAAAAGGGTCTGCTTCAAGTCTAAACTGGGTACATCTGCATCCGTGGAGGTCTGGTGAGAAGACGGACTGTTTCGAGCCAAACTTGTGCTAGGCGTCAACTAAGTTGTTTGGCCGTTTCGTTTGGTACACTATTGATTAATAATGATTGGGTGTTCACTTGTATGATATATTCTCGCCCCGATTATGTTTCTAGGTTTGTCAGCACCATACCCGTGCTCGTGGGTTTCACCGAAGTGGTAAACGTCTGAGACCTGCATCACTTCGGGCTTTCCTCCCACATTAAGCTGACACACCGCGATATAACTGGAATACTGTTAAAAGCGGCGTTAAACCCAACTCACTCACTCACTCACTCACTCACTGTATGATCTATTCACTCAGTATCCCGCCTGTCCGGTAATCTGTCCTTAATCTTGACCTCCTGAAACGGTGACGCTGAAGTCGGTCAACTTTATCAGGACGACAACAAAGTGTACCGCAGACTATGCTACTTGACTCGGAAGTAAACCACAGCTTCTTGACATATAGGTCCATAGTTTCGATGGACTGAACGAAGCCATGGATACTGTTGCTATGTTAAACTTTGGGATGCTGAGAGGTTAAAGTGTCTGAAAGACGCTATGTTGAATCGGTCCGATCGCTTTATCGCACAGCATTTCTCAAACAGAAAGTACCATTTTAACTTTAAACGTTGCATGAAAATGAACCAGTTAGGTTCGAACTTTTGAATAGAGTGGTAATTTCTGCATGACAACAAGATTCAAAGTGGTCTAACGACCTCAATATACCAACTCTATGACGGCGGTCTGTAAATTTATAATCGCGTCTGAACCAGAAAATCCAGTCATTGACATCATGAGCATCGACCCAGGCAATTGGAATAGGATACTGTATGGGCGAACTTTCTTCCCAACGGGCGACCAACCTCTTTGAAGCGATACAAACGACGTTCCAACATGTAGCTCCGTTGGCTGGTTCCCGGTGTAATGTGCGCTGCGACAACTTGTTACATGCAGAGAAAGAACCAAGAATAAACTGTTGCCGCTTCATTTCGTGATTGATTATTTCATCATCGTGTGGGACCATCACGGGTAAATGCACACATGCATTTACACGCGACCCGTGGAGATCCTGGGTAGCAACCCATGCTTGTCTCAAAAGGCGACTTTATCCTTGTCGTAGGAGTCGACTAACGGGATCAAGGGGTCGGACTCACTGACTTGGTTGATGCATGTCATCCCAATTGCGTGGATCGATGCTCATGATGACACTGACTGGACTGTCTGGTCCAGACTCGATTATTTACAGATCTCCATCACAGAGTTGGAATATCGCTGAGTGCGGCGTAAAACAACAAACAAACAACATGTAATTAGTATATCGCTCATCTTGCTATTACATGAATATAATGCACCAGTAACATATCGACCGATAATTTGGAATTTTCCCCTTTGCATTTTCGTTTGTGTTCCTTGAATATGAATTCTCACATGACAGAAGAATGTTCTAATTTGATTGGTTAAATTTACTACATTTAAAGGGGTTAATGAATGATGACCACTTCTGATCGCATCACTGCACTGAATACGTGCGCAAGAAAAAGAGTCCATTTTATAAAACGCATTTTATTCAGGGTAGAATGGAGATAAACCGAGATGAGGTGGTTCATCGTTGATTAAACACCGCTAAATGCCATTTAAAACCGAACGCCTTAATTCCTAAATGTCACATAGATTAGTTCAGTTTATCTTCACAAGCAAGATGTCAACCGACGGTGTGAAAGTGTGTTAGGATTGGTGCTGCTTGAAAAATGTGTGTGGGTGTGATAATGGGAAGGTGTAATTGGAAGAAATTGTGAAGATGGGTGTGAGTTTTGGGCGTGGTTGTGGCGGCTGTGTACGGTGAAAAGACTGGAGTTGGGGTTGGCGGTACATGAGTGAATTACATAGACATTCAGTTATATTAACAAATATTGATACGGAATATCAAGACAACAACAGCTGTCGTAACACAAAAGCATGATGAATGTATAAAGATACTTGTAGGTGACGCTATACTTTTTGCTTGACAGCAGACATTCAGAGTGAGTGAGTGAGTATGGTTTTACGCCGCTTTTAGCAATATTCCAGCAACATTACGGCGGGGGACACCTGAAATGGGCTTCACACATTGTACCCATGTCGGGAATCGAACCCCTTCAGCGTGACGAGCGAACGCTTTAACCACTAGGCTACCCGACCGCCCCGCAGACATTCAGAGTTATCAGTAGATATACATGAAAATGCCCAGGCGGGTAGATATTTCATTCTTGTTTTGTTATATACAGGGCAAATAAATATAAAATGTAATTCGTCTTCAGCACCAAGGTTACAGACGGGGCAAATTCTTAGTGACTTTTCAATATTTAAATATCTTTCTCTATTCACTTTTAAATCATTTAGATCAAGCCTTAAGCGTACAAATGTATTGCGGGGGTGTTTGAATCTTAAATTTGAAAGATACGACGTTGGTTCAAGGAGAGACTTATAAGTGTGAAATGTGTAGAATGCCAATCATGTCGGAACATATCTATAGCACGAGTACGAAATTGTTGTAAAAACATATTTATGTCACCAATAGATTGCGAGAACGATATGAATCCAAAGCCATAATTCAAAAGAGTTAAGCGTATACGGGAAGCCCATGAGTTCTTCCCAATATTATCAAGATATACCAGCATATTATAAGCTTTCTTTGGCAAACGATGTTCCGGCATACATAATTGCTTCGATTCCGGGGTAGAATAGGTCTTCAGCAACCCATACTTGCCGTACAAGGTGACTATGCTTGTCGTAGGAGGCGACTAACGGGATCGAGTGGTCAGGCTCGCTGACTTGGTTGATACATCCCAATTGCGTGGATCGATGCTCATGATGTCAATCACTGGATTGTCTGGTCCAGACTCGATTATTTTACAGACCGCCGTCATATAGCTGGAATATTGCTGAGTGCGGCGTTAAACAACAAACAAACAAACAAAACATAATATCTTCGGCCAATAGCGTAGGCATCGAGTATAAGATGCTATATTTAGTGGGAACCTCCCACATTCCCCATAAACCATATTACTGGGAGTTGACATGCCCACATCAAGAAATCTTTTACAGGCGAACAGGTGAACCTTTTCGATTGAATAAAACCCTCGACAGCCATATATTTCTGCGCCATACAATAAGATCGGCTGTATTTGACAATCAAACAGTTTACACATCAGCAACATCTGAATATGTACACGGTATTTTATCGAATTAATCAAATATACAAACTCAATTGATCATATTCATAATTTGTAGCAGGACGTAGAGTCATTTCACAGAGTGACATCCTTGCTGACAGCGCTAACCTCTTTGGTCGGGCGGATTCGGATATTTTACGGGTTAGCAGGCACTACAGCGGGCGCCCAGGTAACGGCCATACAATGTCCGAGCCTACATGACCAAAGAGGTCATCCCCGCCGACACGCTGAGATGCGGACTCTATTATGAGTGAGTGTGCGAGTTTGGTTTAACGCCGCTTTGAACAGTATTCCAGTTATATCACGGCGTGTCAGTTTAATGTGGAAAGAGAAACCGAATTTGGTTAAAAATAATTGAAAATGTAACTTTTTTAAAAAAAAAGGTCAATAAAATATGAGATACTGGACAGGTAACCTTTTATTGAGGTGTGGGTGCAAATGAACATCACATGCTACTGATGTTCATACTCATAATATTTCATTCATACAACGTAAAGATTTACAATCAATGTAAAGAGAAGACGTTTTGCCAAGGGGTATGCAAAAAGTTCGAATATTGGTTTGGTACAACAAACACAATTCTAGCTTGTTATTCGTAAACTGGTCAGCCAGTTTGTACTTGCGTTGTACAACTGGAATCGTGTCTGTTTATACGATTTGACGAGACTATAACCCGGCAAACTGGCATGGGCAAGCCTGAGTAGAAATGATTTACAGAGCGCATCAACGACGAACCCCAAAAGCATCATGCATTTTACGAGCGCACCTCGACCCAGAAGGCCAATGTATCACTTAGAGTTATTTCCCCGTCGGAACCACCAGATGGCAGCAATGATATTTGCCGCCATTGTTACGGAAATCGATACACATCTGTCAAAATAAGGCGACGAAAGTCGCAGAAAATTGCCAAAATGACTTGTGATTTGCCATGTGTTTCTTACATGGCACTTTACATTATATCTATGCATATTGTGAACAGCAATTCGCGTAGCTCTACAGGCTCCAACCACTGGAAACTGAACCCCATAGAAGGGAAAGTTGTGCAGGCGTCGGACGAAATGACAGTCCGAGGTACGAATCAAGACGAGGATGCTCTAATGGATATTTTGACCAACAAGATTTATGAAAATGGAGAATGGAGAGTTGAAACAAAAGTAGATAAGAAACTGTCGTGTAATTCCCCGTCATGTGATACTGGATCGTCAGATACAACGGGGTATGAAACGTTTTCTGTTTAATTGTCCTATTTTCGTTCAAGGATCAAAACAAATATGTGAATGAACCTGGATTATTTTGGAATGAAAAGACGGAGAATTTAAGTGTGACAATAATAATTTTGATGGATATAAACAGATTTTATTTTAAATATTTTTCTTCTATTCTTGCAATGAAAATTCTGTAAAGTCACCGACATGTCATAAATATGACATGTTAGAAGTCAGTGAAGTATGAGTTTCCTTTGACAGCTATTATGGGATGTGAATTACTAGATGTCAACTGGAGTTAATTGAGCTGTTATAAAACAAGGTATGAAATAATTGTAATTTCTTAGTGTGCATTGTACATGCTATGCCATTGCTATACTAACTGCAACTGACACTTTATAGCTGTGTAAAGAATTCATAACTTAAATGGACATTTATTTGTGTTTTTTCAGTATAGAGAAAAAAATTCCTGCGAAAAGAAAAAAATTAACATGTGGGAAGGCAGTAAACACTACACAATATGACCACCTGCGGGGAATAGCTAACAGGAAGGAACATAACCATATACCTGAGCCAGAAGTGGCCATGATATTCAAAAAGAAGGGCAGTCGGACATCAGAGGTGGATGTTAATGATCTAGAGGAACGTTTATGGAAATCCAAAAAAGAGGTAAGCAAACATTGTGTCCCATCGGTGATTCAAACCCACACTCTCAGAGTAAGGCACATAATCGCCATTACACAGTCAGCGATCTAACCCACTCAGCCACTGAGGCTTACACAAAAATGAAAGTCTGACAATAAAGTACTGGAATTTGTACTTTACTAAGAAAGTCTTATCCCAAATATAACATTTGTTAATTCGACCACTTTCTAAATGGCATTGTGGGGTGCAGGCTTAAACGGTCACCTCAGCAAAACGTCATCGATTTCTCTGATGAAAATGGCACCGCATTTGGAGAAAACGGCTACTAATAACTATGTGTCGGGCGATAACAGCACCTCTACTTCTAAGAACGATTAGATTGATTTATGTAGTATTATATCTTCATCACATGTTTAAAATATTGGCCCATGTACCACCGAACATTGTGATATTTGCGGACTCAGCTATTTTCTCAATAACGGGCCACAGAAAGACCGGTACCACATACACAATTGGTCAACTGGTGACAGTTGTCACATGATACAACATGTTGATTTTTTCTGACATTCTTCTCGCATGCAACACATCGAAAGGCCATTGTGAATAATTGTGATCTGACATCAACATGTTTCCGCTTGACATTGAGTTAAATTGAGTAAAGGTACTTATAACTTAAGCTTCAAAGCGTATAGTGTTTTCACAATAAGTTAGCTGCACCTCCCAATCAGAGTTGGCGAGTAAATTGGAGTAGGGGGCTAATTTTTAAGGTAAACTTGTTTTAACATTTCACAATCAATTATTTGTGTTTGTAAGAGTTGATGTGAGTTTAATTTCATGTAAATTCAAAGCATTTTATGTTTTCACAATAAGTTGAGTTGCCTATAGGCTTAGTTGGAATATGGTTGGAGTAGAGGCAAATTTCTAATGGGAACTTGTATTAACATTTCTCAATTATTGGTGTTTGTAAGTTACCATGTAAGTTAAATTTCATTTATTTGACCCAGGTAACAAAAATATTAGGTGCCGTTTTTGCAAGGCAATAGAAGCCATTTTCGCTTGAGGCGAGGTGACGTTTTCACCCAGTGACGTTTTGCTGAGGTGCTGTTTCAGCTAACTCATTATTCTCATAGCTGTCAGCAGGTGCAGGCTGCCGTCACCGATTTTTCGGGCGTAAATGGCACCTCAATTGGCATAAACCGTACAAAACGGCTACTAATTGTTAGGCAAAAATGGCACCTCTGTTTTAAATAGTGATAAGAACGATTTATGTAGTAGTATATATGCTTTATTTACATGCTTAATTATATTATGTTGTAGTATATATGTTTTCCTTGGGAGGGGACACGGTCTGTTATCCGCAGAAACATTCATGTAGTGTCGGCTGCCAACGGAAAGGAGAGATATATACGAAATATCTATAAAATTACTATTTATTGCCTACTTACTAAACTATGTATTAAATATATATAGAATACCTTTACTCCAATATCTTGACATTTTTGCCAGACTCAGTTGCAGCTGGACAGTGAGTGAATTTGAGTAAAGGTAATCAAAGCATGTCATGTTTTCACAATAAGTTTATTTGCGCCTCCCAATCAATTGGCAAGATTGGGAAGACGGGCTGATATCAAATGTAAACTTGTTTTTAAGGCGATTAACAACTCACAATTATATGTGTTTACAAGTGACCATGTGAGTTTAATTTCATTAATTTTACCATGTTTATTTCAAAGCATGTAATGCTTTCACAATAATTTTCATGATTTTAGTTGCACCTCCCAATTAGAGTCAGCAAATAAATTTGAGTAGAGGCTAGTTTCTAATCATGTCTAATGGAAACTTGTTTTTACATTTCACAATTATTTGTTATTTCAAATGACCATGTGAGTTCTATTTCATGTATTTCGGTACCAAGGTTAAAAAAAATAAGGCTCTGTTTTCACAAAGTACATGATCTGGACTACCAGTTGTCAGAATTTCTTTTTTGTGGAAGCCTAAGTGGCTGATTGGGTTAGATAGCTGATTTTGTGTGCTGGGGATAAAGTCCTCACTCTGAGACTGTGAGAGTGTGGGTTCAAATCCCAGATGGGACTTATAGAATTTGTACTATGCTAAGAAAGTATTATCCCAAATATGATGTTTGCTACGACTGAAATCAGGACAGGGTGCTTACAATTAATGACCTGACCTGACTGGTTGTTAGAGTATTTTCAGACTTATTGCAGACTTATGCATATAACAACATTGACTCACTAATGTTGATTGATTATCGTCTGCTGATCTTGATACCTTAAAATGTTGCTAAATGAATCTTTCTTCTTTTCAGAAGCCAAATTCTGTACAAGTTTTCAACCAGATTGGAAATTTTTGGAGAATTAAGGGCAACACACAACTCTCCATTGAATGTTTTCGTAAAGCATTATCGTTATCACCAAACAACGCTGATGTTTTGTTGAATCTCGCCCGAGTTCTTTTTAACCTTCAATACCTTGACGATGCCATTTTCCTGACAAGGAGATCCCTCGTCATGCAGAGCCCTGAACAGAACTCTTGGTTACAACATTTCACATTAGGCGAGATTTTAAAAGCATATGGCCATTACCAGGAAGCCACCCTACACTTTGGTCATGCTTTAGAACTAAATCCTGGATTCCAACCGGCACAGGCTCATCTGCGGGAGATGGAAGGAGCACCCAGCCCTTCAGTCACCCAGTACACCCTGTTCATTATACTATTCCTAGTGCTTGGGGTACTCTTCGGGGTCATAACATCTATCGAAGCAAATTTTGACGATTGTGCTGAAGTTGTTAAAACACAGCGCCATTTCAACAGAGCAATGGCGATGAGGTCCATCAAGCTCGGGATCAACCCGCGACTAATACGAATGAGGAAACTGAACTGCTGAGATCATCGGCGCCCATGTGTATTGGGAGATTTGGAGTGTATCTGTTGCCATGGTGATGGAAACACTGTTGTCCGGGGCACATTGCTGCATGTTAGGGTAGAGTACATTTGCGGTTCTGTATGAAGTATTTGGTATATACATATTATAGGAAAATACATTCAAAGCATGGTTTGATATGTATGCTGGTGGAACAAAATGGGAATCAACTTAAGAAAATACTTATTTGTCTGACTTGATTGACTAAACATGCCAACCCATGAAGATCCGGGGTAGACAAGGTCTTCAGGAAACCATGCTTGCTGTAACAGGCGACTAACAGGATCAGGTGGTCAGGCTTGTTGGCTTGGTTGACACATGTCATCGTATCTCAGTTGTGTAGATCGATGCTCATATCAATCACTGGATTTTCGGTCCAGACTCGATTATTTACAGACCGCTAACTGGCTATCACTGTGAGAAGCTTGCTCTCTTGTGAAACAAAGACGACCCCTGAAGATCCAGTTAAGAATAGGTCTTTAGCAACCTATGCTTGCCGTAAGAGGCGACTGCTTGTTGGAAAAGGCAACTAGCGGGATCAGGTGGCCAGGCTGGTATTTATCCCAAAGATTGCAGCAACTGTCATTAAATTCCCAGACTATTCTTTTCAATTCATGTTAATATAGTTATTAAATATTGGGGTTGTGGTCGGGTAGCCTAGTGGTTAAAGCGTTCGCTCGTCACGCTGAAGACCCGGGTTCGAACCCTGACATGGGTACAATGTGTGAAGACCATTTCTGGTGTTCCCTGCCGTGATATTGCTGGAATATTGCTAAAAGCGGTGTAAAACCGTACTCACTCACTATTAAATATTGGCGTTGTAGAGACTGGTACCTGATGTAAATACATGGGAAAAATATAATTGGAAGTATGAAAGAAGGACTTTAGAAAATCTCAAAATTGAGCAAAATAATTTTTTTCTGAACTTGCCTTCCAGGGGAACTGAGTTTGGAATCCAAGATAAACCTTGGATTCAGATTTTATAAGCTTGTTTCATTATTTAGATTTATTTGTAAAATGTATGAGTAAAACATACAACCCTAACAAAATTAATATAAACAATCACCTATCTTTGTCCCGATGTACCCCAATTTGCCCAGGTGATGGTGAGCATGGTACGGATTTGGTGACCTAGAACTTATTATTTGGGTTATGGCTTTTGGTACTCCAGCCCATACTTTGGCATGTCCTGATGAACTTTAGACCACAGAACTCTTGCAGCACCTTAGTTGTGTTTAACTATTGCAATAGTGAAGAAGACAATAGTAGTCCCTAATTTCACACAGGAACATTAATTACAATGCCTTGTCTGGATACAGATGCAAGGTTTGACCTTGCTAGCCCCTCTCTCTCTCTCTCTCACTCAGACAAATATATATTTTCTTTTATAAGTTGTGCAGTTAGTGTGTAGCATGTTGGTTATAGTAAGAACTGACTTGATACAAATATTAGTGATGAAGATATTGGTCTCTGATCGATATATAGAGATATTTTAGATAACAACACAATGTAGAAATTCAAAGTATCAAATTTGTCATTCTGTACATCTATTTAAAACAGATTTGGGATTTAAGAGACCATGTGAATTTAAGGATACAAGTCTCATTTTGGGAAAGGAAACTTATCTAGTCAACTGATCGTCATGACAACTGTTCAGACTGCAGATGTGTACAATTATTTGAAATGAGGAAGAAGATTGTTTATTTAGTACCTGAACTCACTTCCTCAAACTGATTGTGCTAAATATTTCAGGAAGATTTTTGTGGGTCATTCATCCATGAACCATTTTGTTACCAAACAACATGAAAGGATTTTGTTTGTCAGTTTACCATGGGTCAATGTATAATGGTTACAATATGGCTTACCAGTAACCATGGTAACAAGGCCACAGTCAAGTGTTATTTTGATTTTCATTTTAAGCAATGACAGTTTATTGTCCAAGTTGACACAATTTGTTGTAGAGAGTTATTCCCCTTGGCTTGATCGGTTGTTGGAGGTGGGTTTGTTCTCAGAATGGCAATATTATCATCTTCGGTTTTATACTCCCTGCTTTAGACTGACATTAGTCTCTAAAATGAATATATTTTACAGAAACAACAGTCGTTAAATAATGGTTATACAATATAATACAAGGAGCCCATATACTGTCGTCTTTTTCAGATGCTGATGCTAAACACTAGTGACAGCTAGAGATTGACTGATTATTACAAGCTCTGTGCTCACTTGTAAATTCAGCAGATTTGTACAGACCCTGATACTGCTGTAAGCTAGACTTGCCAAACATTATAGACTTGCATGGGCTGTATTGGATATGTTTGTTTCAGGGTCTGTATGGCAGACCAATCTCATTTAAATAAGATCTTAGTTCTCGCTATCCCTAAACAAAGATCTGACGACATCCCATTACGGGTCACGTCAGAACGACCTTTCATCCAACCAATCAGAGCGTCGCTTACCAGATCATGAAAGTGACAGTCGGAATGTGTTTTCTAATCATGCAACAACGACAAATTAACACGGGGTATTCCGGACGACAGTTGAGGGTTTTATGATTATATCCATACAATCTAGGACATCTATAAGCCATTCCAGAATGTTCTTCTTGTCAGTTTTAAAAAATTTAATCGAGAATACGTCAAAATATGTTTCGGAGCGTAGTCGCCAGTTTGAAACTTGTGTCGTAAAGCTCGAGAAAGCTGCCTTCTGATTGGCCAATGTTGGTTTCTTGTCAGTCATTTCATTGGTCGATCAAAATTCGCGAAAGGTCGTTCTGACGTGACCGGTAATGGGATGTCCTCAGATCTTTGGTTAGCGGTAGCGAAAACTAAAATCTGATTTTAATGAGATTGTATGGCAGACTAACCCTGCTGTTCAAAGCAGGATTAAACCCAACTGAATTGATACAAGTATTTATGTAGGTTACTTTGAGGAGTTATCGTGAACCGCCATCAAACTGAAGGCATAATCTCAAATTGTTACGGCCCAAATATACAGTTATGCCAAAATCACATTGTTACCCATATTATTTTCCAAATATTCCTACCCGGTAATTAAGGTGGCCAGTTATTAAAACCCAGTATCAAACAGCAGCGTTGAAGTCATGTCTTTAGATTCACTTTTGTTTATTCTGCGTATACGTTTATGTGACCATGGTAACAATGACCTGTGTCCACTGTAAGATTTTACAGTGCTCTAAAGAAATATTTTTGTACTAAAAAATGATATGAGGCTTAATCAAGGGTAGATAACTCTTCACAGGCAATGTTTTAAGATTCTGTTTTATTTTTGTTTTTGCCCTAATCATTGGAATATATGTTAAACTATCATTAAGTTTCATTGTTTTCAGTATTTTTTCTTTAACGTGTTTAATCTAAAGTCCAAGCATGTGGAGATCGTCATACTTCTGGTTCAGCTTCTTTTCTTCAAGGGGCGGTGGGGTAGCCTAGTGGTTAATGTGTCTGCTCATCACACCAAAGACCCGGTTCGATTCCCCAAATAGGTCCAATGTGTGAAGCCCATTTCAGGTAGCATCTGCCATGATTATGCTGGAATATTGCTAAAAGCGACATACAACCATACTCACTCATTTCTTCAATCCGAAAGTATGTTAATTAAGGTGTAAGATATCAGCAATTGTTGTAGTAGACTGGAGCTGTAACCACACACTAAAGTGTTGCATTGCTGACCATTTATTAAAATAAATTATTAAGGGTTGATTTTATGAACATTGTTGAGCATGTCTCCTTATCTTGTGAAAATCTGGAAGCATAGGTCATTACCCATAACATTTAGTTATGTTACTGAACTATTAAACTGAAAGGAACTGTGCACTAGTTGGATTTAACTCATGATGTCTAACCCTGTATAAAGCTGTTGGCGACTTCGCTGACATTGTTTAATATTGTGTTTATATGGTCCTACAATCATACCCCTGTCCAAACTTCAGCATGACATTATGGGGTCCTTGTCTTACCCTAATGTGAGGGGCGGTTAGGTAGTCTAGTGGTTAAAGCGTTCGCTTGTCACACCAAAGACCCAGGTTCGATTCCTGACATGGGTACACTGTGTGAAGCCCATTTCTGGTGCCCCCCCGTCGTAATATTGCTGGTATATTGCTAAAAGCGGCGTAAAACCATACTCACTCACTTACAATTTTGTAAAAAACTGAAGACTTAGGGGTTCCCTGGGTTCTAATAAGGAAGCACACCTCAAGGATCTCAGCACACACTTAAAATCACTGAATATAGTTCCTTAACATAAGAATTAGTATTTTGAATCATATTGTCACCTTATTCACTTAATATTGTGTAACAAATTGTGTCGTTACTGTCCTCAATAGGGTTATCAGTACCATTGGGAGTACCGGGTGTGATATGTCCTACAATACTGCTGTTTTCTTATAGAACTCAATTAAAAACTCATTGTTTAATGGTCAGGGTTCATAATTGCACAACTAGTCACATAAACCTCATATTTGCCACCCATGAGAGCGACATCAACTCATTGACTGGTTTTCGAGCATTTTCCTTGAGTGCACCATGACTATAGGATGTTTCTAAGAGAAAGTATTATTATTTATTTACTTAAAGACACAACGAAGCCATTTGACATTATTAATTCGTTACACTGATGTCTTGCAATCTTTTACTCTTGGACTAGCTCTAATATGAGTACAGGCATGAAAGTCTTGAAAAAGTGCTTTCTAAGGGTTTTCAGTTCAACCTTTCAAGTTCAACTGAGCATTTCAAACGATTATTAATTAAAGTTAGGACTTGATCTGTTGACTTTCTAGTGTCTGGTTAAACAAAACAATCATGGTTTTAAAAAGTCTGTTTTCTTCTCCGTGACACAAGCCTCGGATGTCACGAGTGTGTCAAAAAAAGCCCTTGATTCTTGGTAGGGGCACATGTGGCCAAGTCATCCAAGAGCTACAAATCACTATGCAGAGGAACCTATGATTTGGGTTGAAATGTACATGATGTAGGTTCAAGCCGATTTATTTCTTGGGTTTGTCTGCACCATACCTGTGCTCGTGGGTTTCACCAAGGTGGTAAATGTCTATGACTTGTGTGCTTTCCCCCGGAATTAAGCTGACACGTGAAATAACAGGAATACTGTGCAAAAAGTCACTCTCTCTGTTTGTTTATTTAATTTTTGTTTAACGCCACACTCAGCAATATTCCAGCTATATGACAGCGGTCTGTAAATAATCAAGTCTGGACCAGACAATCAAGTGATTGACATCATGATCATCTATCCATGCAATTGAGATAGGATGATGTGCATCAACCAAGTCAGCGAGCCTGACCACCCGATCCCGTTAGTTGCCTCTTACAACAAGCATAGTCGCCATTTACTGCAAGCATGGGTTGCTGAAGACCTATACTACCCCAGATCTTCACGGGTCATCACTCACTCACTCACTCACTCAACATGCTCGAGAATCATTCAACTACTTCGTTGGTTTTAGTACATCTCAGTCATATCAGCTGGTAATGGGAAAGATTGTCTTTTAAGTAGCAGTAGGTTTGCTTCAAGACTTCCCCTAATGCCTGTATGAATTAATTAGATAATCATCAATTTGACATGGGAAAATGCATTTTTTCTTTTCTTTTCTTTTCATTTTGACACACATTACCTCAATACTGAGTTTCATGATAAAAGCACAATCTAATTGAGGTGTGAGGTTTCGGAATGAAGGTGGCGGAGATGATGACTTCTGATGAACCTACACTGGCCCAAGGGGTGTGACAGCATGGGGTTACAGAGTGGAAGCATTGTATCATTGCAGGTGGTATCAGCTGGTGTGAGACATTTATAATGGCTGCATGCTATCTAAAATCATAGTGTTTAGGTTTTTCTATTAAACATGTCATACGCAACTGAGTGAAATCTTAATAATCCAGAAACCTTGTTTTCTAGACAATTCCTGTTAGGGCCATCTTCATGAACTTAACAGACATGTCTCTGAACTTTTGTTCATTGTTGGTTATTTCTTAGATATACCAATCAAACCAAGTTAAGGACCACCCGATTCTTTCATGTTAATATAGTTAATCATAAGCATAACTATATTAATATGATTGGTTGGTTGGTTGGTTGGTTGTTTTATGCCGCACTCAGCAATATCCCAGCTATATGATGGCGGTCTGTAAATAATCGAGTCTGGACCAGACAATCCAGTGATTAATATCATGAGCTTCGATCCACGCAATTGGGATAGGATGACATGCATCAACCAAGTCAGCGAGCCTGACCACCCAATCCCGTTAGTCGCCTTTTACGACAAGCATAGGGTTGCTGAAGACCTATTCTACCCCGGATCTTCAGGGGTCATATTAATATGAAAGTGTCTGGTGGTCATTGACTTTTTGAGTGGTACTGAAGATTCTCCTTGGAAAGGTAGTGTCTGGATTAATAGGGTTTCAGTGTATTCAGTGTGCATGGATATATTAGATGTGCGAAACTGATAGATATACATCATGATATATGGGTCCAATTGGTGAAATAAATCAGTTCACCAAAATATTCCCCTTCACCTCGTGCCACACTCTGTGTTTTTATGGTTTGCAGATGTTTGCTAACTATGTAAACCAATTTTGCTTAAATCAAATTGAATTATATTTTCTGATTTTTAGCTTTCGGCTCTTGGATGGTCGAATCTGTAAACTGAAAAGAAAAGTGCTGCCTTGGCTATCATATTACATTATGATAATATTTCAGTATCTGTTTTAAGTGGTGACACTCTCTGCATCTCATGTGTTGAGATCTGGTTTGTGTGGCGCCTCACTCTGTATTGTCAAACGGGGCGGTCGGGTAGCCTGGTGGTTAAAGTGTTTGCTCATCACACCAAAGACCCGGATTCAATTCCTGACATGGGTACAATGTGTGAAGCCCATTTCTGGTGTCCCCCGCTGTGATATTGCTGGAATATTGCTAAAAGCGGCGTTAAACCATACTCACTCATTCACTATATTGTCACATCCCTATTGAAGGCCAGGGTAACCATGGAAACGGGTGGATGTCCATATATGGCGCAGGGTCTTTATATTTGTTGGTTGGGACATTAAACTTGTATTCAATTCTTTCAAAATGATCTTTTCCATACAGCACTATTTTTGTTAGTTGATGGACCAATTAAAGTTCAGTTTGATTCCAGTAGTGGAAGCCAAGATCGTTATTTTATTCAACATGTTTAGCATGAATAAAAATTATTATGTTCCAGTGGAAGATGTCAGTTGAGAAAACACAAAACGTGTTGCAGTTTCATTTGTAAAGCCTAGATTATTGGTTGAAAATTCATGGCCAGTAGCCATTAATTCTGGGTTTAACATTTATTTTCATACAATTCAAATTTTAAAATATATT